GAGGGTTGCGATCCGTTGCCGGACACGAAAAAAGACAAAAAGGAAAAAAAAAAAAGAACAGTAAAATAAACACCAGTATACCCTTTGTGCAGTAGAGTGAACACAGGAGGCCTGACTGCTTTTCTTAGAAAGGTCTGCTCCTGACTGGTGTCTTTCCCTAGAACTGTCCCAAAATAATATGGATGACTCATTTACACAAATGTTTACACAAATAATATGAACTACGCTAAGCACCGGCTTCCCCTCTGGGAGTCTTGAATTTTGGCACGTGCCAAGCAGAGAGTGCCTACGTGAGCAGCCCCCAGTAAAAACCCTGGGCACTGAGTGTCTAATGAGCTTCCCCGATAGACAATGTTTCACACATGCTGTTACACCTCATTGCTGGGGGAATTAAGCACGTCCTGCGTGACTCCACTGCGACGGAACTCTTGGAAGCTTCTCCTTGGTTTTCTCTGGATTTTGTCCCATGTGCCTTTTCCCTTTGCTGATTCTGTTTTGTGTCCTTTTACTGCAATAAATCATAGCTTCTTGTACACCCTATTCATAGCAGCACTATTCACAACAGTCAAAAGGTAGAAGCAACCCACGTGTCCATTGACAANGAACCTTGAGGACATTATGCTAGGTAAAAGAAGCCAATCATGAACAGACAAATATGATTCCACTTATATGAGGTACCTAGAATTGTCAAATTCATACGGACAGAAAGTGGTGGTTGCCAAGGGCTGAGGGAGGGAGATGGGGAGTTATTGTTTAGTGGGCACAATGTTTAAGTCTTGCAAGATGAAAAGTGGTGTTCTAGAGATGGACAGTGGTGATAGTTGCACAACAGTGGGAATGTGCTCAACACTGCTGAACTGTACATTTAAAAAGAGTTAAGATGGTAATTCTTTACTGTTTTTCTTTTTTCTTTTTTGGTGGCCAGCTGGTAAAGGGATCCGAACTCTTGACCTGTGGTGTTATCAGCACCATGCTCTAGCCAACTGAGCCACCTGGCCAGCCCAAGATGGTGATTCTTATGTGTATTTTACAATTAAAAATGTTTTTTAAAATTATAGTTGTGAACACTACTACATTCTAAGTCCTGTGAGTCCTCCTAGCAAATCCTCAAACCTGGGGTAGTCTTGGGGACCCCAAACACACTTCACTTAGGTCAAGTTGGCAAACTTTTTCTGTAAAGTACCAGAATATTTTAGGCTTTTTGAGCCAAATACTCAATATCTCCATTGTAGCAGGAAAGGAGCCACAGACAATATGTAAGTGAACAGGCATGGCTGTGTTCCAATAAAGCTGTATTTATAAAAGCAGATGGTGATCTGGGGCTGGGGGAAAGGGGAAGAGGGATTACGGCTTAATGGGTACAGAGTTTCTTTTTAGGGGGATAAAAAAGTTTTGGAAGTAGTGGTGATGGTTGCACAATATTGTGAATGAAATTAATGCCACTAAAATGTACACTTAAAATGGTTTAAATGGCAAATTTTATGTGATGTGCATTTTACCACAATTTAAATAAATAAATAAATAAAAGGAGGCACAGGCCAATTGTCTACATACACATA